TTAACCTAAGACGGGGCAGGACTTAAACAGCAAGCAGCGGTCAGCCCCCCCCCCCTTTTTGTCCGTTGGCGAAAACCGTCCAGTTGTCGGGAAGCCGGTCCAGTATTCGGACCGGTCGGAAACCGGCAGCTACTCTCAGACCGGCTACCTGAAACCGGTCGGTGGAAGTTGGTGGAGCGGAAATCCAAAACTATATCAAGCTGGCTTGACTGGACCACGGACTCGCGCCCAACACCAACTCAGGCCAACGCAGATAAAAAGGCAGACAGGTCGTCAGAACCTGACGAGATGCGTACCGGGGCAGAGGACAGAAGATCATCCCAGGGTACGGAAACATGCTCCTCGGAAGAGAAACCCAGAAGAGCGGGGGAGCAGCCGCGGCTCAGGGAGTCCGCCAGATCATTCTGGAAACCCGGAACGTGTTCTATAGAGACAGCGATCCGGAACCAATCTTGAAAACGGAGAAACTGGCCCAAGACGTGACAAAGACCAGTGGCCATGGAGAGTCCCTTCCAGGAGGCGGATTCAGCAGTAAAGTTGTCACAGCGAAAAAGCACGTGTATAGGTGGATGCCCGGACGGAAGCATCCGGTGTAGAAGCACCAAGAGCGCACACTGCGCAAGAAGCTCCCAAGTGCTGATAAACGGCTGAAGAGACTCGGCGGCACTCAGCCATGGGCATAATGCACAAAGCGCCGGGCTATCAAACTGATGCTGGAAGTACAGCCGGTCGCCGGACGGAAGGCGGACAAAGCCGCCGAGGCCCACGGACGTCGCAGAGGAGCACGCATCCGCAAAAGCTTCCAAGGCGAACGTAGGTGGCAAACGGAGCGACCGGAAGGGCACACCGGAGGCAATGAGATCGCGCCAGAGCCGGAGAGCGACCCTGGACTCATCAGAAGTGTAGGGCTGCGGGTGGCAGTGATCTGAATCCAGACCCGACGCGACTCAACCGGATTAGCGGGTAGGTCCGATAAGGAGGAGATAGCCGATTGGCCCACCCGGAGAAGAGAAGCACCCACTTGAGTTGACGGAATACCCAAATTGCGGGTGATCCGCAAGTCAGGGGTGATGAAAGGCCGCAGAGACAGCCACTGATCCGGCGAGAGGGCGCACATGACCGGGGGAAGTCTGTGCTGATCCCGGTAGAGCGGGGTAAGGGTGGGCCGGAGGCAACGAAAGAGGCCAGACACCCATAAGAGCTTGCCGGTGATGCGCTCTAGGTCCGTGAGAGAACAAGACCGGCAGTGCAAGAGAAAATCTATGAGAGCCAGAATCCGGGCAGCCTTGGAGGATTCCAGGCGGACGAGAAGGAGAGAGAAGTCAAACTCCCAGCCGATCCAGACCACACGGGGGGAGAGGCTGGCCTTGTGCCAGCTTAATGGGACCCGGAGGATCAAAAGAAAGACAACCAGTGAGCCGGACCAGAGTGGCGCACTGACATCCTCAAGCACGGCCAGGAAGTCATCTACGTAAATGAAGCCGGAATGGGACACGTACCAGAGGCGATGGGATAACCGGACCAGAAGGCCGGCCATCCTGGACCAGTAGAAACTGCTGGCACGAGCCCCGAAGTTAAGGCACTTGGACAGGTACAAGGTACCCCGGTGCCGGAAACATAACAGGCCCCAGTCGCATTTGCGGATGCGGATCCGGCGATGAGCTTTAGCAACATCCAGAACCAGAGCGCATAAGCGTTCTCTAGCGGAAAAGACCGGAGAGCAAAGTCGAACGTCCATCAAGGTGGGGTTGGGGCACCCGTTAGGGAGCTGAGTGTGAGAAGTTACCCCGGAAACGGAGCTATCTACCACTAAGCGCGGAGGTCGGTGGTCGGAGATCACGACCCCCAGTTTCCCAACCGCCGTTTTAACGAACCGGGACCGGAGCTCCGCGTCCCCTCCAGGAACTGCTTCTATCCAACCGGATGCAATCTCTGTGGCCAGAAGGTCGTCCACGATGTCCGGATGCGAGAGAGCTGATTGCCACGATGATTCGCAGTGCTGCAGATCGATAGGCGCATCCGAGTGAATGCCCGGAGGAGGAAGGACCGGGCAGGGAGGCATGGGGAAGTCGACGCCCAGTGGGACCCCGGATTGGAGGAGACGGGCGTAGTCCGATCCGCGTCGCCCAGTATAAGGGCAAGACAGTGGAGAAGGCGCAGGCGAAAGGGCTGGCCTTCATCCACAGCCAGAAGGGCTTGCCAAACGGCATCGTCCGTAATGTTGAGAAACAGACGGAGATCGGAAAGATAAGGAGATAAGTCTTCGTCTGAAAGAGGAGGATCTTTGGAATCGGAGTTGAGACGACCGATGAGAGAAGTCAAGACCCCGGGGAGAAGCAAGCGGCTGGACCAACGGGACCGGAGGCTTTTAAAAGTGTCCGGACCGGAGGGACGACGCCAGAAGGCTGAGCTGGAGGTGCCCGCACCATCTTCCACCCTTCTCTTGGGAGGGTCCCAGGAGAGCTTGGGGGGCAGAAGGGAGCGCCACTGACGCCAAGGCACGAGAGCGTCAGTGCAGCCGAGTGCAGGTGCCAGTAAGGCCGACAGCGAATTGGAGAGGGAATCCGGATATTGGGCTGTCAGACGGGTCGCAAAAGAACCGTCTGACAGGCGTTTACCAACGAGGACCGGATGCGAGCCCGGCGCGTGAGAGCAGGCTGACGCTAGAGAGCAGCAGATGTCGCCCGAGTTGGAACAAAACAGCCAGCGCTTGGAGACGTTGACTCCATGGGCACAGGCAGCAACAGAGGCTGCGAAGGGAGCAACGGACTTTTGCCAGGATACGACTTCGGGGTCCAGCCACAACAAACTGGAAACCGGATTCTCCATGACCACAACCCCTCCGGCGGCCGAAACTAACGCCAGGAGTTCCCGAGTACGCCGGTGGAGGAGCGAAGAGACGGTTAATTCCCTGGCTCCTGTCGTGGATAGACCGGGGACACCGGTGGGGAATTCCGGAGTGCGAACCGGAGGGGGCCGCCGACAGGAGACAATCTATTCACCTTGAGCCGTGACATGGCCTTGGATAGGGGAGCCGCGTGTCCGGAGAACAAGTCCAGGAAGAACCGGGGAGGAGGCAGAGCGCCTGCAGGCCGGTCAGGGGCCGAAGCCGAAGGCTGTACCGAGACCGGCCCGGCAGAAGCTTGAGAGCATGGTGCCGGGACCGGGGCCGCAGCGGGCAAAGAGGCGGAGCCCGCAAAGCCGGAAGGGCGGGTCACAGCCGAGGGGGCCGGAAGTAAAGTAGGAGCAGACCGTGCCTGCATGGACGCAGCCAGCGGAGCTGGCAAAGGAGCCGCGGCATCGGGAGACGGGTGACCTAGTCAATGACCTGCCGCCAAGTGCTCGACCGCGCTGTGCTCTTGGCCGCAGGGGTTGCCGGCGGCGTCCCGGTCCGGGACCGGACAGCGGTGACCGGAGGGAGCAAAGCGGCAGTTCTTGTTTTTGCACTTCCCGAGCCCGAACTTCTTGCAAAGCTCATGGCCGTCGACGTGCGTGGCCCAGGACGGATCCCACTTGTCCGCGATGGTCTTCTTCTTGGGACTGGGGCGACCTTTGGGGTCGGCCTTGGCTTTACCCTTGGGAGCTCCCTTAGGAGCTGCCGAGGAAGGAGAGTCACCCGTCGGTTTGCGTTTCCTGCCGGCGTCCGGGGCGCCGGGCAGGCGAGGCTGCAGCGTGGGCGGAGGACGGGCCGGAGCCGTGGGGCGAGGCCGCGGTTGCAAGGCGGACGAAATATCTTGCCGGCAAAAAACGATCTCGTTAAGGGAGTCCGAGAGGGACCAGCCATGATCTCGCATCAGGGCCCAAACGGACTCCCAGACAGACCGGTCGGCGGCAAGGATCTCAGCCAAGGACGGGGCCCGAAGCGTAGAGTCCAGAGGCTGAGCCAAGGCAAAGGACAGAAAACGGTCATTGAACCGTTTGACGACAAGCAGATGGACGACCTCCAACATGGCTAGCGCGGTCGCTAGCATGGCGCAGGCGCGGCGAACCGTGGACTCCACCGGATGAGAATTATGAATGGGAATCGACGGACCGGAAGGCTCCTCATCCACTTCCAGAAGGGTCCGGAGGAGCTGGCGGTCCGACCGGGGGCGGCGGGATTCCTGCCACGCCGCCGCATCCTGTTCGGATGTGCGGAAACGCCAAGCAATCCAAGGGGAGGCCTTGGAATCAATCTGCTGCTTCAGTGCAGACAGGAACTCCACGGAGGGTGTGGTATCCCGGTTGAGAGTTTTTCGGGGTATGATTTCTGAAAATGGGACCGGAGCTTGAGAACTGCGTCCGGTGACAGTTTCGATGAAACCGGACCGGAAGAGAGGCCGGAAGACGAAGCCGGGGCGGGAGGTCCCGGAATGGAGTCTTGGGCCAAGATGACCAGGCGACGGAGAACGGCGGCCTCCGGGCTGGTCATGAGGGAGTGGTCCTCAGCGACGCCGAGGACAGACACCACAAACTGGTCGATGGAAGCATCCGGGGGGATTGCGAAAGCACTGCCCCAGAGTGAGAAAGTTGGCCGCCTTGAGACGCGCGGCCACCGAAGGTGGGGCGCTCCAGTCCGCAAGGGGCCGAGGGACCTCCGAAGCATCATCCAAGCGGGCGGCAGCCATGAAGAGGGCAGGACCCGCGGGACAAGAAGGCAGGGGAGGGAGAAGAGCCAAAACAGCTGCGGAGAGACGTAAGCGAGGCAGACCGAGCAGGCATGCGAGCAAAACGCAGTTTTACTCGAGGCCGGCGGAGGTCATACCGCTGTGTCACGAAATGTGCGCAGCACATCTATGACAGCTGTGAGAGCCGTGCGGAAGGCCAACAAGAAGGCCGAACGAGAGCGCTGCATGAAGGTATATTCATTCATGAGCGCGTTGGAGCGTTCAATGAGGTTCCCAACTGAAGCCCGGAAGTGGCGGGTGACGTTCTGGTCCTCCGTGATTTCCGTGCGAGCGGCATCCAGACCAGACTCCACATCCCTGACTCGTTGTTCCAAAGTGGCCAGGCGTCGTAGCAAGTCCAGATCCAGACCTCCTGCCTGCTCGGGCGGAACGGAGGCGGGAGAGAAGTCTTCGATCGGGTCAGCCATGTAGACAGGAAGACGGGGGGAGAGCGACCGACACCAGGGGGAGAAGGGAACCGAAACGGCTGCGGGAAACAAGCAAGGCTAAGAGCAAGCAAGGAAAACGACGTCGGATTGGATAGACCACCGGGCGACTTTTACCCGCAAAGCTCTGGAGCCAAAACTGGGGTACCGTGGAGAAACGGGTGAGACACGCGGTTCGAAGACACAGCGTAGTGCCCGGTGGAACCGAGTTGCACAAAGAGTCCGGAGCCAACTGGTGAGTCTGGGAGCCGCAGGCGGGGCGAACCCAAAGGGTGCCGGACCCAGACGGATCAGAGACCTCCAGGCCGCGCGCGGCGTGGGCCTCAACCCGCACGGCTGCATGAACCACGTTGCTGCGATAATTGTGCAAAAATAGAGAAGTGACCGGGTCAGATGGCGGAACGGCACGCTCGGCCGGTTCTTCATCTGAAGAGGAAGGAGGAAGCAGCGCCGATGCCTCAGCGACCATTTGAGGCTCGGCATCCGGGGCTGGAATGACCGAGCGAATGGCGCTAGTGTCTTGACCGGAAGACGGGGGAGAGTGGCCCGAAACCGCCGGCTGAGGAACCGGGTCAGTGGAAACAGGGGTTTGAAGAGAGAGGTTCAAACCGGGAAAGGCCGGGAACAGCGGTTCTGTACCCAGAGGGACAGCCGCCGGGAGCTGTACAGGGAAATCCGGAAGGGGCTCGGCCAGACCGCGCCCCAAAGGCTGCATCGGACGAAACCCAGAACTTAATGTGGAACGCCAGGGCCCGCTGGAGGTAGACCATGGGGCCGATATCATCTCTACTATAGAGAGCGACCGAAGCGTCCGCGCCGGACAAACGATGATGCCCTTGAGTGCGACGAAGGTCGGATGGAAAGTTGAGCTGCCGGGCCCAACTGAGCAAGGTCACCTTGGCACTATGTGCGCCGATGAAACGGAACGCTTCGGGAGGCGGGCCGGAGGCAGATTCGCGCCAATGTTCCATGAGCAGAGAACGGATCCAAGTGACACCGCGGTCCCGCTGCAGAGGACTGAACAGGACCGGGGCATCCGAGGGACCGGAGAGAGGGCGGGAAGGAAGTCGATGACTCTGTTGGGAAAGGCGGCGCGGGAGCGCTGAAGCGATTGCTTCAGAACCGTTAGCCACCGCAAGGACCAGGAGCCTGAAGGAGTACCGGTGAGACCGGAAGGGAGAATGCCCCAAGGCATCCCGGAACGAGTGACTTTGGTTCGCATAGCAATACCGGAAATAACGGACGGACCCATCGGAGTGACGTCGGAGTGCAGATGAATACGGTCCGGAGGGCACCAGAGCGGGTCGCTCCACCGGAGTGATCCCCACACGGCGCACAGCAAGGAGCCGATAAGGAGGATGTCCGCGCAGGAAGTGTCCGGGTGCAAAACGCGGCGCTCCAACCAGACGATAAACGAAAGGCTGAACGGAAGGGCTTCGCGTCGTTCTTGTGGATGAGTAGCTCGAGAAAAGGATCGGCACAGAGGAGCCTGAATCTGAGCGTGCAGGACCGGGAGGCCGGCGTGACGGGCAAACCAGGAGAGTGCTCGCAACTGGTTGGTGGCAAGACCCTGAGGGCTAGCTTGGGCCAACAGCCAATCCGGGAGCACCCCCGGAGCAGGCAAGCACGGCGAACAGGAGTAGACCACGCACCAAGCAGCCCAACCGGACCAAACCGCGAAGTACCTGCTGAGTGTGCTGACCGAAAAGGAAACGATGACACGGGCGATTAGCGCCTCGGGCTGAGAAGAAGCCCGGGTCGACGAAAACAGCGCAGAGTTTTCACCGAACTCATTGATAAGGTCTAACCACGTGTCACGGAGCTTTTGCATAGAAGCTTCAGCCAGGCTCCGCATAGATGAGGGGGCCTCAGAAGGAAGGGGAGCCGGAAGGGCAGAGGGACCCGAGGAGGAGAAGGGTGTGGTAGCCACAATTCCCGGGACCCGGAAGACAGGGAGAAGAGAGGCAGGGACGGCCGGGAGAGGTTGGTATACCGGGGCGTGGGGCGCCAGCCGAGCAACAGAGAGGGATATCCTGGGAGGGCTGGCGACCCGAGGTGCGCAAGGGGAAGGGTCCGAGTGAGACACCGAACCCGACCGGAAAGGAATGGAAGGTGCCAGCACCGGGCGGAAGCTGGAGGGCACACCGGAGTGAAGCACAGGTGCCAGCCGGAGAGGGCACCCAGGGTCAAGCGAAACCTTAGCCCAGCTCGAGGCGGAAGAGCGATCCGGAGAGTCGAAGGGGCCGAGGGACCGAGGAGAGCGCCAAAAGCTCAGGGTCCAAACCCGCATCGGAAGGTGACGCCGGACCGGAAAGTAGAGACAGGGGCGACCTGGAGCGCCCACGTGAAGGCCGAAAATCCGGAGAGAGCACACCAGCAGGTGCCAGGGCGGCAGCAGCAGACCGGACCGGGGAAGTGGGGGCCAGTGGCCGCAGCGGGGCAGCGGCAGCACGAAAGCGGCGAACCACACAAACCCTCCTGCCTGGAACCGGTAGAACCGATTCCGTGTCCGCGTCATCGGCGGGATGGGGTAGTCGACGAAGTACCTGGCCGAGACAAGCGGAAGCAGAGGCAACAGAACACAGCAAGAAAACACAAAAAGGACTAGGAGCAAAAAGTCGCGCTGCAACTTTTGCACGAAAGCGATCGGTAGCAAGCCCGGACGCGGTCGCAAAACCGCACCGGCTGCATGCTAAGAAAGCCGTGGTTCCCGTGGATAAACGTGACCAGAGGTATAGAATAAGCTCAATGGCAGAAAATGTTATCTACGGGAGACCTCGTGGTGAAGGAGGGAAGCGTTCTAGGCGGACCGAGCCGCGAAACTCACACCGGAGAGACTGGTCATCCGTAAGACCGGTATTCAAAGCCGAATAACCGGTAACGGACAACCGGTACAAGCGGGTCCGGGATTGGCTGACCGGATTGGGCAACCACCGGCCGGACCCGTCACCGGAAAGAAGGAAGTCGACTTGCGTCCAGATCTAAAGAGTCCGGATCGCTGACCGAAGACCGGTCTGAGAGGGAGTCGTCCGGATAGAGGCGCACCGGGAACGGGGCAGTGACCGGAGAGGATCCAGAGCCGGAGGAGTCCGGTTCGACCGGAACCTCTAGTCACGGATCCCGGGGCCTCTTGATCAAACAGTTCCAACAGCAGCGGTTGGAGTGACCGGAGTGTTCGCCCAAGTGGACCGGACGAAAGCAGAGCCCGCAACAGTGACGGCTGCGCCACGTAGCATTGGACGTGAGGGCGGAGCACGGACGGGTACAAAACCCACGGACCGGGAGGTGGGCGAGGGGGGCCGGAGGGTCCGGAATATGTACCCACCAGGGTAGCTGCGCCCTCTCGAGAATAAAGAGGTCCGGATACGGCCAATGATCCGGGCGGGTGATCTCATGCTGCTGTCCCTCTATGTCAATGCCAAGCCGGGACAGCTGCCAGCCTTCCGAGCAAGTCCAGGGAGGATTAGCCCGGTGACCGGAAATATCTCCGCCCCCCACCCAGTGGCAGGAGTCGGCACCGGTAACGGACCGGTGCCCGAGCCGGCGCCGGCACTGGAGCTGGGGCCGGGATTTTGCGGGCGTAGCGGGGGCGGAAGGGGCGGGGCAGTTTGGGCCGGAGGCGGGTCGACATCCACGGACCGGGCAGCAGACGGGGCCGCGAGCAAGTCGACGAGGGCACCGGACACACTGTGCTGGAGCTGTCCCAGCGTGGACGCATTGAGCTGCCCTAAGGCAGTCTCGAAGTCGTCCCGGTTCGCTGACTCGAGGACGTCCAAAATCTCCCGGACGGAGGGACCGGGGTTATTGGTAGGCGGGCCGTGGCGCAGCCGGACCGGACGGCGAGCGGCTGTCGGAGGGGGAGTTGCGCGCCATGACCGGACCGGAGGTCGAGGTCAAGGAAGCGAAGCGCAAAGAAACGGAGGCCCAAGGCCGAAGATCTAAGCCGAAAAGGCAGCGGAGCAGAAACGGGCATGCGCGCAAGCTGGACAGAGCAACTGTAGCCAGAGCAGGCAAGCGGTTCTGCAAACCCTGCAAAGAAACATGAAACGAACATGCTACAGCAGCAGGGCACAGGGTCAAGATCGTGAGGACACGGAGTGACCAGAGACCTGACCAGGCCGGGCTGTAACCAAGTCCTTTCTGAGCAGGACTAAGGGCCGGGCCGAGAAGGGTCCAGATCTGAGTCCTGACCAGAACCAGAATGGAAGAAGGAACCGGTCGCAGAGCGGTCCTCATCCATAAGCTGGTCGAGGTGTTCCTCCATGGTGAGAAAGCCTGGCGGGACCAGGCAACACCGGAGAGGAGAAGGCAAGGCGCAAACCAGCCTAGGGTCCGAACCGACGGGACGGATCCAAGGGCAAACCTGCCGGGGGCAGGGTCGCCCAAAAGAAACCCCAGACGTTGTCTGAGCTTCGGGCCAGAACCACTCGAGGAGTAGAACCAGCCAAAGACCTGTCGGGCAGCGGAACTGACCAGACAGGTGAAGAAAAGATCGGCCTGAAAAGGGCAGCAAGCCATGGCGAAGGACGGCTGCGGAAACCGTGGGGCTAAAATCACTGAGCTACCAAGAAAGGCAAAGTTGAAGCAGACCAGTAAACCCAGCAAAAGTGTAACCGGGAACGGAAACCACGCCGTCCTGAGCCAGTGCTGCAGGGCCGGTA